AGGTGAGACACCTGAACCCCTCCGGTTGGGGGAGGGAGGGAGGGAGGGAGGGAGGGGAGACTGATGTTTTGAGGATGTGGAGGTCAGAGGTCACAGTCATCTTTATGTATGTGAGCCTCTCATTGGTGGTCCTGGTCACATGATCCAGCTGTTGCCATTGATACATCTTTGTGTTTCCGTTGTCATGACGACCGCAGGAGGATGAAACAGGTCTGATGGAGGCTCCCCAATGTGATTGATACCTCATCAGTGTTTTATATCAGCGCAGTCGTCATGACAACAGACAGTCACACCACCTGTACTGTGTGTGTGTGTGGTGTTGTGCTGTGTTGTGTGTGTGTGTGTGCTGACCACTTTTCCCATCACTTTGACTGGGCTCTATTTTAGGGGTTTAATGACAGGGTGGAAAAAACAGGGCGAGGTTAAATGAGAGTACCCTGTGTGTGTGTTGTGTGTGTGTGTGTGTGTGTGTGTGTGTGTTCAGCCTATATGGATACATCAAACTGGAACCGCACTAACTCGTAAACTTTGAAGTCTGATGTGTGTTCCTCCTCTGTGCCATCGAGCGCCATCGTCGACCAAAATACGGTTAAAAACTCAGCACTGCGTTTTGGTTTTTCTCTGAGTTTGAACATTGTAGGAAACATTTGTGGTAACACAGATACACAACTCAACTACATACAGAACATAGAGTTTAATGAGGACATGTTAAACATTATAGATTCGGCTCCCCCTGTGGGAGTGCATCTCTTCCTTTTAAGAGGATCGGATCCGGACACATGGGATACGACTCATCGGATTCCTGTTTAGATCTGCGACCGCCGTCCGACAAATCTTACCAATAGACGTTTGTCCGACTTTCCTTCCTTCTTGTAGAATCCAAATATCTTCCAAACTTGAGATTTTGATTTGAAGGCCCACTGTGCGTGCTACGCTGACGTTTCTGTCGTTTTGTGGCAGCAAAGCTTCCGTCAACAGATTCCTAACACTCATGGACCGGTTCATGGTACATCTAGATCTATCCAGGGATCCGCGTACCGATGTAGTCGCATCCATAACTGTAAAACCGATTTACCGGCTCGCATCTGTAGATCTTTACAGCCCTAGTTTCCACGCATCCTGGAAAACCTGGAAACTTACAGACCAGTTTTCCAGTCATTGATTAAAATGACCAAATATCCTGGAAATCATCTATGCTGTCCCTCACTCGCCTACGTATTGAGTGTTGGTGGAGAACCTGCGCGGTACGACACTTCAAGGCAGGTTTACTTCTTCTTTTAATAGTCTCAGTTAGGCAAAAGAGTGAAAAAACTTTGACCCGGTTTAAAGCCACAGTTTTACTGTTTAGATCTTGTTGGTTTGATAGCAGGTTGAAAAACAATCCAAGTGTATAAGGGAAGTTTCTGGTGTCCACATACTTTTGGCCATGTGCAGCTACAGTTGGATGTAGGTTAGGAGGAGAAAAACAAGGAGAGAGATAATGAAGTCAGTAGAGCGCGATGGAGTGATACTGCCTCACTGATCTTCACCCGCAGCTCGACTGGCCTCAGATCAGCCTCAGTGCACCTCACTGCTTCTCATAAACTCCCCCAACAGTTGACATCGTACGCTGGTTCAGTTTGGTTCTTATTCGTGGACGATGACTGTGAGATGTTCTGTCACAGTTCACTGACTCATCAGAGTTTTGAATCGGTGACCGAGTGAGTTCACAGTGACACACTTTCTCCCGCTCGGAGCCGCTCGGACAACTTTTACAGACCCGAGGTCGATTCAGTGTGAAAGCTGAGGTGAAACTCTGGTTTAATTCTGAATGAAGTCTTTTCCAGCGAACCAGCACCACCTCCATGACTTAATGCATCATTCAGGGCGTGGCTGCTTTGAGTGACAGGTGGGTTCAGTAACCAGGCTACATTCAGGTTCAGCTCTTTGCTAGAGTCAGCTAACATGACCCAAGCTACTAGTTTCTGTTACTAACTTACCTTTGTGCCTGCGTCAGCGTTGTGGTTGTCTGCCAGAAGCTGTCACACATTGACTGTTTATCCATCCCTGAAGCCACATCTTTTTTTACCCATCCACTGTTTAGATTTTTGGGTGCATTTTAACTTCTAGATTTGAAGCCGGGATTAACAGGATTTTAGTCCATGGACCGTCTGGATCTTTAGAGTTTCAGGAAACAAGCTGAGCTAACGTTAGCAGCAAGCTCGGCTCGCAAGTCCCTACGGGACGTTCCTGTTTGTCTGTCAACAGCGTGGCGAGGAAGAGTGACTTGTTAAGGTGGAAACTGCTTATTCAGTGTGTTTTTAAC